TGTACAGGGTTTCCGAGGGTGTAAATCCTTATGGGAGTAGAAAACCTCATCTTTCTCCCGCGGAGCGGCTGGTAGTTTCGAACCGCTGACTTTAAGGTTCGCAGCCCAATTCGTAACCACTATGCTACCAGAGCTCCTCTATTGAGTGAACACATTTTCTCTAATTTATTGTTACTAAACATCTTTTGAACAATAGTGCACTTGCAGGACAAAGGAAGGAGCAGACTCTAGACTTTTTCATTTCAGCATTTTTCAAGAGCATCTGAATGTTACTGAAGTTGACCTTTGAATATAGACGTTGATCAGTATGAAACCTTCAATGTGCGTTCAAAGGTTTAGAGTTCCACAAAGCCTCACAGTACCCTTCGCTCCACCTTTTTTAGTAAAGAAACAGACAAGTTTATTCCTCCACTCTGCGTGTTAACCACTACACTCTGGTAGCGTAGTGGTTACAAATCAGGCTGCGAACTGCAAGGTCAGCAATTCGAAACTACCAGCTGTTCTGTGGTAGAAAGATGAGGCTTTCTGTTCCTGTAAAGATTTACAGCCTCGGAAACCCTGTACAGGGTCGCTATGAGTCGGGACCGATTCTATGGCACACAACAACAACAACTGCGTGTTAGGCTGAACCTTATTTTTTCAAGTCACATCATTTACAGACAATTCAAGAAAACATAAGTCTTGCTTGAAACATTAGTTGTATCTAATCCATTCTGACTCATGGAGACACCATCTATATCAGAGTAGAATTTTGCTCCATAGGAGTTTTCAGACATAGAATGCCAAGCTTTTCTTCTCCAGGTATCTCTGGGTGGACTGACTCCAGTCTCCATGCTTTCTTTTAGTAGAGGAGAATGTGCTATTAACATTTGAACTACCCAGGGACTCCCTTGTTTAAAAGGATGAGTCTAAATATAAGAACAGCACATTGTAAGGAAAGTCACTTCCTTCCCATGCATTTACATTTAACTATCAAATATATTTCATCTTATCAGAAAGTCCTAAATAAAGAAAAAAAGAGGAAGAAGCTTCTTGGGATGTCCAATATCTCAAACAAAATAGGCTTTCCAAAGATAGTTTATATTTTGCCCTACCAGGGCTCAGTATTTCTGAACGAAACCATAGCTGCTATTTATCCAGCCTATTTACACTCTGTTAAGTGCTTAACAAGAGTCCTGGCATGGTGCCGTAGTACAAGCACTGGATTGTTAACTACAAAGTTTGGGGTTCAAATCCACCAGGGGCTCCTCGGAAACCCTATACACGATTGCTGGGCGTCCAATCAACCTGAGGGCACTTGACAGCAATATACCAACTTCTTTACTCTGAAATTGATCAAACATGCAATCGAGATGCATTGATGATTACTGGTGATTGGAATGCTAAGACTGGAAACAAAGAGGAAGTGTCAGTCATTGGAAAATAAGGTCTTGGTGATAGAAATGATGCTGGAGATCACATGATAGAATTTTACAAGACCAATGACTTATGCCTTGCAAATACCTTTTTTAATCATAAAACACAACTATACACATAGACCTTTCCAAATGGAATACATAGGAATCAAATTGACTATATCTGTGGGGAAAAATGGTAGAAAAACTCAAATATCATCAGCCAAAACAAGGCCATGGGCAGACTGGAGAAGACCATCACTTGCTCATATGTAAGTTCAGGCTGAAGCTGAAGAAAATGAAAAGTCCACAGAGCCAAAATATGACCGTGAACATGTTGTTATTGTTGTTAAGTGCCATCGACTCAGATCAGACGCATAGTAATCCCCTATAGGGTTTCCAAGGAGCGGCTGGTGAGTTGGAACTGACAGTGCTTCTCCTATGGCGCCACCTGAATTTAGAGCCCATCCCCAAAGCAGATTTGATGCATAGATGCTAATGACTGAAGACCAGAGGAGTTATGGGTGACATCAAGAACATCATACAGGAAGAAAGCAAAAGGTCATTAAAAAGGCAAGAAAGAAAATCAAATATGGATGTCAGTAGGCACTTAACAAAAACAACAGAGACTCTAAAACTTGTTCTTGAGCAAAGAGAAGCTAAAGCGAATGGAAGAAATGAGGTAATAGCTGAACAGAAAATTTCAAAGGGCAATTCTAGAAAACAAAGTCAAGTATTATAATAGTGCAAAGAACTGCAGCTAGAAAACCAAAAGGAAGGACACACTCAACATTTCTTAAGCTAAAAAACTGAAGAGAATAATTCAAGCATTGACTTAAAATATTGAAGGATTTTCTGGACAAAATGTGGAATAATGCAGAAAGCATGAAAAAAAGATGGAAGAAATACACAGAGCCACTATCCCAAAAAGAAATAGTCGATGTTCAATTATTTCAAGAGCTAGCATATGATCATGAACCAATGATACTGAAGGAAGAAGTCCAAGCTGCATTGAAGGCATTAGTAAAAATAAAGTCTTCAGGAATTGACAGAGTCAAAATCTTTAAACAAACTGATGTAGCTCCAGAGATGCTCACTCATCTATGCAAAGACAGCTAGCTAACAGGCCAATCCATTGGAACACACCATATTTGTGCCTATTTCAAAGAGAGGTGACCCAATGGAATTTGGAAATCTTGTAACAATAACATTAATATCACATGCAAGTAAAATATTGCTGAAGATAATTCAAAATTTGTCGCAACTGTATACCCTCAGAAAAACTGCCAGAAATACAGCCATATTCAGAAGAGGACATGAAACTAGGAAAACTCATTAACAACCTGTGATAAGAGATAACACAACCTTGCCTAACCCAAGCCATGGTATTTTCAGTCGTCTCATACAGTCCTGGTGTGGCACTGTAGGATAAACATTGGACAGCTAACCACAGGTTGGCAGTTCAAACCACCAGTCACTCCTCGGAAACCCTAGGTCACTATGAGTTGGAACCTACTTGATGGCACTAACAAAAACATATACATATAACAATGACTATATAAGGCTGTAGACTTTATGCATTTCAATTATGGTGTTGGAGATGAATATTAAAGTACCATGGACGTCCAGAAGAACAACCAAATCTGTGCTGGGAGATGTACAGCCAGAATGCTCTTCAGATGCTAGGGTGGTGAGACTTCTTACTCATACTTTGGACATGTTATCAAAAGGGACCAGTCCCTGGAGAAGGACATCATGCTTGGTAAAGTGGAGGGTCGGCGAAAGAGAAAGACCCCCAACAAAATTCATTGGCACAGTGGCAGCAGCACTGGGTTCAACCGTAACAACAATTGTGAGGTTGGCGCAGGATCAGCAAGTGTTTAGCTCTGCTGTACATCGAATCAAAGCCGACTGGAGCACCATCAATAAATAACAAAGTGCTTGACAGTTTATCAGTCTGTCGGGGTTTGGAAACCACTCAGAAGTACCTGGAAGAAAGGGCCTTGCGATCTGCATCCCCAAGGTGAAAGCTGGAAAACCATTTGGAGCATAGCTCTACTTTGGACACATGGGGTCACCATGAGTCAAGTCTACCCACGGCAATTAATTTGTGAGGTGGGCCGTGAGAGTGAGGCGGTAATCACATTCTATGTACCCTGAGGGGTGGTAGGGACTTGGTCTTTTTCTGAAGCTCCACTATTTCTGCAAACAACAATTTAAAGACACAGGATTTAAACTCGGGGCAGGTTCCCGTGTTTCCATCTGCAACCAACATCCGCCTCCAGCCCTTGCCCACGCAGAGCTATATCCTTGCACAGTTGAATGTGGTGACTCTCAGAACTGTGACTTTGAGGTCTCCAATCTGGCGTATGTCTTTGCCTCCAGTCCCAGGGCTTAACTTTGTTAGTTGGAAGGGCGGCTTGCGCTTTCGACGACTGGGGCCTGCTTCTGCATGCTGCTCTTCAACTTTTACCCCATCTCCAAAAAGAGGACGATTCAAGTGGACTTGGCACATTTCCACGATCCCCCACCCCACAGCCGGTGGGGAGCTGACGTGCGCCCAGGAAGACTCAGACTAAGCAGGCCATTTCCACCTGCGTAATCACAGGCTTGGGAGTAGGGAGGCAGCGGCGGCGGCGGCTGCGGCGGCGGCAGCGGCAGCGCCAGGAGTAGGAGGAGGAGCGCAGGCAGTGGCCACGGCGGCGGGAGGAGGAGGGGGAGGAGGAGGAGCTGAAGCGGGAAGCGCGGCGGCAGCAGCACCACCAGAGTTGCAGCAGCAGAGGCGGCGGCGGCGGCGGCGCGAAATCACCGCAGCCTCCCTAAGTCCGGAGTCCCAGCGCGGGTAGCATCAGGAAGCGCCCGGTAGCCCAGCCACTGCACCTCGGCCCCGCGAAGCCGCTGTCGCCGCGCCCCGGGGACCGTCAGCCATGGCCGCGCAGCCGGAGCCGCAAGACGAGCTGCTGCCCCTGGCAGGCTCAGGGTCCCAATGGTTCGGGGACCGGGGGGAGGGGGAGGACGAGGTGGTGACGCTGAAAGGGGTCAAGCCGACGTCGCCGGCGGGGGAACCCGACCGGGGCTTGGACGCCTGGGCCGGGGCCCGGGAACCAGCGCCTCCAGAACCCGGCTCGGGCTCCGCGGAGCCGCCGCCCGTTGCCATGGAAACTGCATCCACAGGTAAGGCTGGCGAGCGCCGCTGCTCCGCAAATGGCGACCAGAACGCGGGTTCCCAGCCGAACCTCTTCTCCGCAGCTCTCTGCACCTTCCTCGCGCTCTGTACCGTTAGCACCGACCCCACCCCCTATCTCTGTTTCGCCATGAACTGATTGGTAGAAAACAATTTCATCTTCCCAAAGACTCGTAAGAAGACAAAATACTATTGATCCTATTATCTAACAATTATTTCGGCTTTTAAAATTACCCTCACAAGCAATTGCAGTATTTTGGCAGCTGGCGTCCGGGTACAAGTTTCTTTTCTTAGTCATGGGGTTCAGGACTACACTGCTCGCTTGGCATGTTATGCTGATTTTTTGGGGCGTGTTTGCGCGCAGCGTGCGCACCAGCGACTGGAGACGCTGACAACAAAGCGTTGGGGCAGGCCCGCGATTACTAGACGCTCCTTGGTCCAGGGAGGAGATGTGGCTTTAAGTCTCCTGTCTCCCTTTCTTCCACTAATCACCATTCCCTTCTCGCTCCCAGTTCCCCACCCCCACGGAAAACAGAAATCCCAAGATATGGATGTGTGATTAAGGAGGGGTAACGCTGCAAGCGGGTTGGGAGTTGTGGCAGCCTCCGCCCAGAATCGGTTTTCTGTTCATCTGCATAGAGCGTTAAAACTTGGAACCCCTAAGTGCAGAGGATCTGTTGTGGTGTTGGAGGGCTTGGGTGATGGTGTTCAGAAGAGACAGTTTACCTGCATCTTGTACTGTACCGGTTATTTTCTAGTTGCCTTGGGCTGGACCTTCCTTAGGCCAGGTAGACTCTCCATTCAGAGCCAAAGTGTTCGGGTGCCCACGGGAGTCCAGGACCCAGGTGCACAACCTCCTCCCTGAGGGCTGGGAGAGGCGCGCTTTGGGGAAGAGTTGCTGGCTTGCTTAGTGTTGTGGTTCTGTGGAGTGGAGTGTGTTCTCAGAAAGCTTTGCTGTGATGTGTTGGGAGTGGTGTAGTTTTTGAAACATTTCAAAAAGGTCTGGGACAGTGGGTGCGCTTTGAGGACAAAGGGAAGGGGGACAGGACTAGCTTGCATGTTCTTCTTGCCCATTGATTTAGGGGAACACCTTTGGTAAGACAGACAACCTTTCTTGAAGGGTTATATGGAGTGTTTTAGGTAGTCATAACTGTGCCCCCGTACAAAATATCTGAGTTCTGGAAAGGAGTTTAGGTAATGAGTTGAGTGAAAGATGACAATTTATTTGAAGGGGAGAGGAATTGGGGGGGGGGCATATACAAGAAAGAAAAAGAAAAGGTTAAAAAGCAGAACCTCTTTTGTCATATCTTATTATATCTCAGAGTGGGAAAGGATATCCAGCGAAGGATTGCTGTTCAGCTTTTCAACTTCTGAATCTGAATCAACAGCAAAACTCTTGTAACTATCAAAGGATATAGGCGTAATATTTGTCATTGTTAGTCTTTGTGGAGGGTAGGGCAAAGTTCAAAACCTTTACCTGTTGTGTTGTTAAATGCTGTGGAGTCTGTTCCTTCCCATAGCCACCCTGTATAGGGTTTCTGAGGAGCAGCTTAAAAAAAGTCACTTTGAACTGCCAACCCTGCGGTTCAAAGTGACTTTTAAGTCCAGTGCATTAACCCTCAACCTTTGTTGTTGTTGTTAAGTGCCGTTGAGTCGATTCTGACCCATAGTGACTCTGTATAGGGTTTCCAAGGAGAAGCTAGTGGGCTTGAACTGCTGACGTTGCAGTTCAAACGGCTTTGTAGTCTCACGCATTAACCCACAGCGCCACACCCGGACTCCTACTATCACTAAATTACTTCTTTATAAGCTACACAGTTGTCATTAGTGTCACCAATGTTAGGTACATTAGGGAAAGGAACTAGGTGCCTTCTGTTCAGTAATACTCTACACACTAAGTTGTTATGTATAAAATTCATACAATTACTGTCACATATTAGGTATTTACCATTTTAAATGTTATTGTTGTTGCTGTTAAGTGCCGTTCAGTGGGTTTCCACTCATAGTGACCCTGTATAGGGTTTCTAAGGAGCAGCTGGTGAGCTTGAGCCACTGACCTTGCAGTTCAAAGGGCTTTGCAGTCTGGCCCATTAACCCACAGCGCCACACCAGGACTCCTTAAATGTTATTATTAGCATAAAAATTATTTTACTTTGTTAAATTGTTAGGAGATTTTTAATCAACAAATACCCCCCAAAAATCAAGCTTGATGCTTAGTTTGGGTGGAAGAAAAATAAGAGAGAAAGAAGCACACATTTTTCATATTAGCAAAGAAATTTTGTAGTTTATTATTGCCACTCACAGGAATTTCTCACCTAGTTGTTGAATTGTTTAGTACTTTAAATCTGAATGCTTCTTATTAAGTAGATTCTGAGGGCTGCTGTAAGAGAGATGCCAGAAATGATATCCAAATAAATAACTTGTTAGTGTCTGTGAGACCCATAACGACCCCCAAGGAGTGGCTGGTGAGCTTGAACCACCTACCTTGCAGCGAAACCGACTTTGCAGTCCAGCACATTAACCAACAGTGCCACACCAGGATTCCAAATAGATAACTACAACTTGAAAACTTGGCATTAAATCTGGGCCAGTTGGCTTATTTGTTATTTCTGTGGTTCTTTTGCTGTATCGGAGTCCTGGTGTGGTGCTGCAAAGTCAGTTGGAACTATAAGATCCGCAGTTCCAGTCACCAGTCACTCCTTGAAAACCCTATTCAAGGTCACTATGAGTTGGAACGGACTGAACTGCACTTAACAACAACAACTACAACAGCAATATTGCTATATGAGTCAGTTTGAAACGCAAGGTTGGTAGTTTAAATAACTTTATAGGGGAAGTTGGAAACCCTATACTGGGTTGCTATGAGTTAGAACCAACTCTACTGCACTTAGCTAGCAAGCTAGCTAACTATTGTTATAAGAAGGACGTCTGGTAGCATAGCAGATTATTAACTGGGCTGCAAACTACAAGGTTAGCAGTTTGAATATGCCAGCCGTTCTGTGGGAGAAAGATGAGACTTTGTGCTCCCATAAAGATTTATAGCCTTGGGACTCCTATACAGGATCGCTATGAGTCAGAACTAACTCCACGACACACCACCACCATTGCTATATGACAAGTCAGCAGGAAAATCCTCAAGTTTATCACAGACAAAACTCCGAGGATGTCTATTAAGGCTGCTGCTTTAGCTTTGAATAAAGATTGATGCACTGGAGGACTCAAGCCAAATAAAGAAGGTGACTTAGAATTGGAGAGTGATGCTCTATTGCTTTTCCAGGTAGAGCATTACAATGTAAAACAGATACTGACGTTTTGAAATCTGTTTTTCTGAAAAAAATACACCACCAATCATACCATCTGGACGCAAATGCTGTTATTTATTTTTATACAATGATGGTCATTAAAGTTCCCAAAGCAACATTTCCAAAAATATTCCTCTGTAATATCCTGAAATGAATATATATTTTCAATATTAAAGCGACACTATGAAATTCCATCATGTAATTTCAGGTATTGTCATTGCTTCTGTCATCTTTTGTGGGATAGAAATCTTCTCACAAAAAGTAACAGGTTCTCCTAAAGCTACAATATTTCATGTCTAAAATGTACACCATATGTAGGCTACCGTATATTAGAGTTGTTAATCAGGAATCAGTACCTTCATTCATCTAATAACTTTATGTGAAGGATGTTAAGAGCAATTTTTTTTTTTAATGATTGGTTATTTTATTCTTGGAAACTATTCAAAAAGAGCACACAATAACAAAAGAGTAGAACAATGGCCCTCTGTTTAAAAAAAGAATTTGAAATAGAACATTTGAACAAATTAAAATTGGAAGATCTTAACTTCTTAACTGCTTTGGAAATCAATTCATTGATGGCTTTGTGCATGGGAGGAAAAAACAGAGGCCAGAATGGAGAATGGTCTAGAATATGATTTGCTTCAGTAATTAATCTTAATTTGTAGATAATTCTGCTTAATTTCTTAGATAATTGCAATGCAGTATTTTCCCAATTTATTTAACTTTGAACACAGGGCTCACAAATATATATATTTATACATATCACTGTCAGGTAGCAACAAAATATTGAATATTGAAACATGGTAAAGAGCACCAGAATGGTGGTGGTGGTGGTGATGTGCCATGGAGTTGGTTCTGACTCATAGCGACCCTGTACAAGGTTTCCAAGGCTATAAATCTTTATGGGAGCAGAAAGCCTCATCTTTCTCCCATGAAACAGCTGGCAGTTTTGAACTGCTGACCTTATGGTTTGTAATCCGATTCGTAACCACTACGCTACCAGAGCACCAGAATATTGCCAGATAATAGTGACAGAAGATGAGTTACTCAGGTTGGAAGGCACTCAAATTAACGACTGGGGAAGAGCTGCCTCCTCATAGTAGAGTCGGCAGTGATGACAAGAATGGAGTGAACCCTTCTGGGACCTGCATTTGCTGATGGGGCATAATTCAAAATGATGAGAAACAGCTGTAAACATCCATTAATAATCAGAATATGGAATATACAAAGTATGAATCTAGGAAAATTAGAAGTTGTCAAAAATGGGATGGAATGCATAAATATTGATAATGCTAAGCATTAGTAAGGTAAAATAGATTGGCAATTTTGAATCTGACAGTCATATGGTTTACTATGTTGGGAATGACAAATAGGCTTTGTATTCATCATCAAAAAGAACATTTTAAGATCGATCATGAAGTACAACGTGGTATGTGATAGGTTAATATCCATATTCCTACAAGGAAGACCAGTTAATACAACTATTATTCCAATTTATGTATCACTAAAGACTGTGATGGTGAAATTGAAGAATTCTACCAACTTCTTCAGTCTGCAGTTAATAAAACATGCAATCAAGATGTATTGATAATTACTGGTGATTAGAATGCAAAGGTTGGAAGTAAAGAGGATCAGTCATTCGAAAATATGGCCTTGGTGGTAGAAATGATGCTGGAGATTGCATGATA